ATGGTTTTTTTATCTATTTTCTATGAATTTTTTAAGTCTGAAATTTTCCCCCTGTGGGGAAAATTTCAGACTTGATCCAAAAAGTTCATTAAAAATTTGATTATTAAAAATATTTTTTTATAAATAATATTTTGATAAAAATATTTACTTTAACATATTATATATTCTTACACATTTAAAACTCTTTAATATTTGATAACAATTTATAATTTTAATAAAAATTTTAAGATTTTTATTAAAAGAATTTGAATGACTTTAATTTCATTTATAACTAATAATCAACTTAAACCTGTCTTTAATTTTCTATTTTTAATATTTCTATATATAGAAGATAATAATTTAATCTTTTAAAATTTTTATAACTAAATAACAATAAGAGTTTGTTAAATAATATTATTAGTTTTATTTTGATAAGATATTTTCAACACTAATATAACTATAATACAATATTTTAAATATAAATATAATTAGATTGAAATTTACTTTAAAGAGTATGTTCGCTGAAACCAATTCTTGCTCCAGCTGTTGTTTGGCTTTATGCCAACTATGTTCATCCTTATCATTTGAACCTTCTTCTGTTATTAGGTCCCTTTCATCAATACTGTCTGTGTTTAATAAATCTTTACTAATCATTTTATTTATTATTGGGGTTTAATTAAAAATCTTTTTAATTATGATTTTTGATAGATTTGACATTTGATTTACAATTTTTTGAATTCATTCCACTAAGATAAAGTGTATTGAGTTCTGGTAACAGAGTATTTAAAAATTTTTTATTAAAAATAGTTTTAAATTTCTACAAGTTTATATTCCAATAAATTTGTAAAGATATATTAACATAAAAATTTGTAAATATAATAAAATCAAGAATTAAAAAATAACAATATTTAACTTTAATTAACTAAAATCTATTTAAGAATAAAAAATTAACAAATGATTTTATTAAATCATTTAAGGTAAACTTATTTTACCAGTCTCAGTGATACCCAGTGGTTTATTGACTAAAACTAATTCTGTATAAATTCTTTCAAGAAGAGACCAATCTAAATGCTTAAACCACTTATAAATATATTCAACCTTATTAGCATTAAATACATTTAAGTAACTGTGCTCAAATAAATCACAACCCATACAAATCTTCAAATCATCAGAATACATAATAGGTGATTCTTGTTTATCGGTGCATACAATAATAAGATCACCTGGTGAACACTCAATAAGTTTAGTTGGTCTGTCGATGTTTAAAGTTAAATTTTTGTAGTAAGAGTCTTCAAAACAACTAAATTTAACATTCCCTGTGACTCTAACTAACCAACACCAACCACTTCCAAATACTGATGATCCTTTTCTAACGAAAACATCAACAAACTCATCAAAACTTCCAAAGTTTTTAATAATGTCATTTTTTAAGTTTCCCTCCTTAAAATCAATTTTTTTATCAGTCAATGTTTGGAAGAAAATTGTATGATTGTAATGACCACCTCCATTCTTAATAAGTAATTCTTTCTTTTCAACCTCAAGAGAAAATTCTGTAGAATAAATCTTAGATAGATATACGTGTAATGGAATGCTCTTATTTAAATCACTCTCAAGTTTAGCTAGTCCATCAACATATTTTTTGTGTAAAACATTATAGTGAAGATCCATTGTTCTTTCATCAATAAATCCATCAATCTTAGAATATAAATTCTTGATATCATCCTGATTCCAACGAGCCATTACTAATTTTAAGTGTGAAAATAAATAAAAAATATAAAAAGGAGAAGATTATTAATGAACAATAAAAGAAGATTTAAAGAAAATGAAGAATATTTTAACAGGATTGAATTTGATAGTTCCGAATATAATGAAAATCTAGAAGAAACACTGTATAATATTGAGGTTGAAACAAATAAATATAGATTGATGGTAGGTAATAAAAAAGAAGAAGTTAAAATTAAAAAGGAAAAGAATTCTAGTTGTTTAAGTATATTTAAGAATATTTTATTGTGTAGAAAAAAGTTCAAATTAGGAATGTAGTTTATTTTGTAGTTCAAATATAACATTTATTCTTTGATATAAATTTTCTATTTCATCGATTTTTTTAAGGTACTTTAAATTGAATTCATTCAATTCATTTGGTGTTTTAATATATTTCATTAGTTCTGAATATGATTTACACTTAAAATTATTAACTTCCTTGTCACAAATTTCAGATAAAACTATCCTATAATAAGATATTTTAAAAAACATACTATAATTGTGAAGAAATTCAACAATTTCAGAATCGGTTTTAACTTTAGTATCATTAACAAGTTTTTTATATTGACTATTGTTTTTCTCCGTGTATATTTTCTCAATATTATCTAATAAGTTAATAAGTTGAAAACGACGCCTTCTTTTAGCTTCAAATGATAACATAGAATTATTTTTTAAATCTTCAAGTATTACAATAAACTCATTATAATAACTGATTATGTTTTCATAAAAAACATTTTCATTGAATTTATAATGTTTTTTTATAGGATTTTCTTTAGCTTCAACAAATGGTTTTTTTGAATAAGAAATAACTGGATTAGGAGTAGTTAAAGTTTCTGATTTATAAAAGAAATTTTGATGTTCGTGATTTTCATAAGAAAAACTATCATTGTTTGAAAAATGTGTCCGTTGATTTGTTTTTTCATTCAGAATGTATTTACCACTTTTATTTTTCTTATAGCGTGAATCCATCATGCAATCTTTTTTATCAATAAGATCCAAATTAATTGTTGTATTACAGTCATTTGATAAAGATTCCATGCTTATACAGAAATATTCACTTGCTTTGATTATGTTTAAAAAATTACTAAATTCTATGTAAAACATGGGGGTAATTTTTAAAATAATATTTTATTAAAAATTATAAAATATTTAATTGTTTAGAATGAATTATATTTATTATTTGGTGCTTTGTTTAATTTATTTTAGTTAATAAATATTTATTGAATTTTATTATATGTTGATAACAAAAGTATTCTCAAAATATATATTTTATATGAAATGAGTAATCAGAGAGTTTACAATATATTAAATGGTAGTTTTTTATATTAAATTTTCTAATAAACTTTATAAAAATTTTAAAACAAATAAAAAATTTTAAATAGGTTTTATTAGTATTTATAATTTAAATAATTTTTTAGTTTTATTAAAATTAAAACTTTTTAAATATAATTTATAACTAAAAATATTAATATGAACTTTTTATATTTAAATTGTATTACTTTATAAAGAATATTTTATTAAATAAAAATATATTGATCAATTTATGCAATCATAAAAAATACAAAAAAAATCTTTGTTTATTTTTACATGAATTGCGTAATTATAGCACACATACTGGCTTACTTGTATGGTGAAGCATTTTTAAATACAATATTTGAAATAATAATATGTATAACATATGGAATATTAAGATTAGTTATAAATCAATTTATTCCAAAGAAAAGTATTTTAGAAAAATTAGTGAATGATCTTGGTAGAAATGGCACGAGGGAAAGAATGATTATTTATGATGATATAGTTATTATTGAAAGTATGTCTTCATTTGAGGTTAAATCTATTTTATCTACAAAGAAGTATTCTAAGAATTTCAATAGTAAATTTTTTAATAAAGAATTGACTGCTGTAATAGAAAGAATACCATCTGAGTATCTTTCTAGTGTATCACATAACATAACTAAGAATCTTGGGAATCCTAATGTGGTATTAAATAATGATAAACCTAAATCAGATATAAAATCAGAGAGTTTTAAAAAATTTAATTCTCTTGTTAATCATTTTAATGATATTTTACAAATCAATCAAAAAATAAACAAAAGACAAAAAGCTATTGATCAAATTATTACTCATAATGCATTAAAAAATAAAAAGATAGTAGAAAATAATCAAAAGTGTTATTAAAGAATTAATACATAATAAATTCATTTTAAAATCTAAAAAAGGAATATAAAAATAAAATGGTTTTTATTAAATTGTAGAAGTTTCACTATCTTTATCTCCATATAAATCGAGTTCTTCTAATCCTTCTTTTAATCTTTTTTCATATTCACTTTCACTATTAATTTCATTACTTTCTTCATTAATACTTTTATTATTTTCTTCACTATTAATTTCATTATTTTCTTCACTAATAGTTTCTTTAACACTATTAATTTCATTACTTACTTCATTAATACTCTTATCAGTATAAATTTCATTACTTACTTCACTAATAGTTTCTTTAACACTATTAATATCTTTTGAATCAGATTCCTTAAAATAAGCTTTACTATTGTAATATTCAGATTCTTTAATATCAACATTTTCAGTTTTATCATTACTAAATTTAGTATTTTTTATACTTTCATTAGAATCAATATTAAAAATATTCATATCATCATTCACCAATTTCACCATATCATTTATAAGTGGATCTTTAATTAAATTCAATTTATCAAATTGTTTAGAACAAAGATAAAAATAGAATAAATCAATATCGTTACTTTCTTTTAAAAGACATGATTCTGCTATTTTAAGATTTTCAACAGATGTACTTTCTTTAACAATTCTCTCATAAAGTTTTTTGTAAATTTCATTTTCATTTATATTCTCTGCTATCTCATAAGCATCATTAAACTTTCCTTCAGATAGCAACAACTCAAATTTCTTATCATCTTCATTAATATAAGGCAAAGCAATTGATCCTTTATTTTTCTTAATTAAATACTCCATTGGATAAAGTCCTGGTAATTGTTCTTCTTCTATCACGGAAATAATATCATCTTGATTCTTTAACACTGCCATTCTAAACCTAATTTCTCCCAATGCTAAATCATCTACTTTCTCTTCTTGTTTACTAACTAACGTTAATTCATTATTATCTAAGTCAACATTGCTAATTATTCCAAACATGCTAAATGGATTATTACATAAGATACCAACTTCTTGATAAAAATATTTAACTTGTTTTTGTGTTAAATATACAAGAATTGTTTCATCTTTATACTTTCCAAATTTAGCATCTTGTATTTCAATCATTTCATCTACAATTTCAATTAAAGTAGGATCAAAATCATCATCAAGTTTATAAATCTCTATTGAATTAATTCCAAGTAAACATACTTTAGAATCCTCACTAATTATAGATCTGATGTAATTTTCACTTCTTATTCTACTCTTTAATCCCTCTATTGTTAATATTAATACCTCCTTATCACTAAATAAAAATATCAGATCTTTACTTACACGTAATTCAAATTGCTTTTTAATTTCACTAACACTAAATATTTTCTTGTTATCAAATAGTAATTCATTCTTATTGAGAATTAAAGTCTTATTCTTAAAATAACAAGCTTTTCCATCATCAATAGAAAGTAATGATCCGGTACTTGAATATACCCCAAATTTATTATCAAAATTGATAATCACACTTTTTAGCTTATTATCTTCAATGTTAGTAGATATCATACTAACTCCATGCTTCTTACCAACTTTAAATATTAAAGAATTTCCTAAGAAAACTGAATTTTCATTAAAATAGTAAGAAGTAAGACAATCAGAAATTAATGAACTTCTAAGGTTAAATAAAATTAATCCATCATCACTACCAACAGCTAATACATCATTTTTAATTGATAGTGACCAAATTCTAGTATTTACAGGAAATGACTTAGTTTTATTACTAACAGTAAATCCTATTTTCCCATCTTCTGATCCAGTTATAATAATTCCATCATGTTCATCAATACATGTAACATTGTTTTCATGTGCATAAATTGTTCTATTCAATTCAAGTGTTCCTCTATAATCAAACTCTTTAATACATCTATCATCACTTCCACTATAAAGCTTGCCTTTCTTAAAAATTAGACAATTAATTGATCTATCATGAGCTTCAATATTTTGCATTTTAAATAGTGGTAGCTGTAAATTAAATGAATGATTAGAACCTTTCTTACCAAAGGAATCATTAATAATCCACACACCTATTGTGCGGTCTAATGAACATGTTGCTAAATGTGAACTATCTATAAATTGAATACTCATGATGTAATGAAAATGTCCTATTGACCAGGCTAGAGCATTTCCCACCTCATAATGCCACAATCCAATAAATTTGTCATCACTACAACTAGCTAGTAATGGTCTGGTTGGATGAAAATCTAATCCTCTTATATAATCAACATGTCCAACTAACTTTCTCTTTACCTTCATTGTTTTATAATCCCATATTCTTATTATCTTATCATCTCCCGCAGTTGCAAATATAGCACCATCATGATGAAACTTAACTACCCTTATACTTCCTGAATGTTCATTATAAGTATGTACTGTGTTATACAGATAGTCTATCAATGATAACTTACCACAATGATGTCCTATTATTAATTTGTTCTCATTGGGATGAAATGCTACTGTCTTGATCCTAGTTGTATCTAACCTGAAAGTTTCTTTTAATAATTTGCCATGTATATAATTCTTCTTTTCACTCTCAGTTTTTATTTCTTTCTGGTTAATAGAACTTAATTCGCTATTATATATCTCTGATTTATTGTTTATTAAATTCATGGGGTTTAAATTTAATTTAAATAAATAAATTATTTTAAATAACTAACTTTGATAAAATAACTAACTCTGATAAAATCACTAGCTTTAGTAAAAATTTTTCTTTAGTTATCATAACATAAAAATAAAGTTTATTTTTTATTCAAATTTTAAAAATGATAATGCAAGTTAGGAAAGTAAAAGAAATTTATCAAGTTACTGTAAAAAGTGTAATTGAAAATGGTGAAGACTTGGTTTGTGGATCATTTGAGGTAGGGAAATTTAGTGATGTTGATCTTCATAAATTAAAAGACTTTACTTTTACACCAATTACACCATTCATTTCTCATAGAATTGTCGGAAGTGATGATTATCATAGAGAGAATAATATTAAATTACCTAAAGAGAATAGTTATGAAGCTGGATTACTTGCCAAATCACTGAATATTAAAGCATCAGAAATTGATTTACAACTAACTAAAGACAACTACGTAGTCATTTATCATGATGACTATGTCAAATACAATGGAAGTAAGAAGTATATTTATCAAAATACTTTTGCTGATCTTGTAAAGTTCGATAGTTCTATTTATGAATTTTCTGAAATTCTTAAAGTAGATCTTTATCTTAATTTAGAATTAAAATGTTCTTGTTATCCCGTTAATAGAAGAATAGATTTGTTCTGGGCTGTTATTGATATTTTAACTAAATTTAAGAAATTTGACAGGTTTTTCTTTAGTAGCTTTGATTGGTTCACTTGTTTTTTTATTAAGTCATTAACTAACTGTTTTAAGAATAAGAAGTTTTTAGTTCTTGGTTTGATTTGTTGCAACTTTGATAATATCAAGTCTATGACTTTCGAGTATTATTCTTATCTTGATGGAATTGTTTATTATTATAGATACGTTGATGATAATTATAAAAAATTATTTTCTAATTTAATTGCGGAAAACAAAGACATCGGTTGTTATGACGTCATTACGAAAGAAGAATTTAAAA